GCCTGTAGTCCCAGCTACTTGGAAGGCTGAGGCGGGAGAATGGCGTGAACCCGGGAGGCGGAGCTTGCAGCAAGCTGAGATGGAGCCACTGCACTCCAGCCTGAGTGACAGAGCAAGACTCTGTCTCAAAAAAAAAAAAAAAAAAAAAGGCCTTGACCTCCCAAAGTGTTAGGATTACAGGCATGAGCCACTGCGCCCAGCCTTAAAAAAAAAAACAAAAACTTAAGTAAAATATTTGTATATTGAGTAGAGCAGTTAATTCATTCACTGAATATTTTATTGAGGGTCTACTATATATGCTACTATATATGAATAATACTGGGGAAACAACAGTGAGCAAAACTTCAAGAACAAAATATTGGGAAGCCTATAGCACAACTTATATATTAATAGGGGAAAATAAAAATAAGCAGTAATCTCTAAAGATGCCAAAAGAAACATTTGATAAAATTTAATATCATTCCTAATTTTTAAAATATTCTTTATAAAGTAGGCCTAGATGGATATATCTTGGACGTCACGTTTATGCTTAATGTGTATTCTGGAATTTGTCAGTTGTACATGATTACAAACACAGCTTCAGTTGTCTTCAGCAAAACAGAATGTATTGACTACCTTCCAGGATAAGGGATACACAGGCAGATTCAAGGCTTCAAATGATCTCAACAGAACCTGGCATTTCTCCAACTCTCAGCTGTACTTTCTTTCATTTTGATTTTGTCTTCAGGTTCCATGAGGTGGCAGTATGACTTGCTGGGAATCCAGGTCTTCATCTGTCCAAACTCAAGTTGAGCAGGAAAACAAGAGTAGATTTTCTCAGTTGTTCTTACAGAAGCCACAGGATTTACTCTAATTGGTCCAACTTGGATGGTTTCCCATTCCTGAACTAATCACTGTGGCCAAAGGATGGGATTCTCTAACTGGCTAAACCCGAATCACAGGGTTTCAGAGTAAAGAAAGAAGGAAATGTTATTGGAAGAAAGAGCAATGTTTGGTAGTTTTAAATAACAATTAAAGCCTCACGCCTGTAATCCCAGCACTTTGGGAGGCTGAGGTGGGCGGATCACGAGGTCAGGAGATTGAGACCATCCTGGCTACACGGTGAACTCTACTGAAAATACAAAAAATTAGCCGGGCGTGATGGCAGGCACCTGTAATCCCAGCTACTCGGGAGGCTGAGGCAGGAGAATAGCTTGAACCTGGGAGGCGGAGGTTGCAGTGAGCTGAGAGAGAGCGCCATTGCACTCCATCCTGGGCAACAAGAGCAAGACTCTGTCTCAAAAATAATAATAATAATAATAGTAATAATTTAAATATATATATATATACACACACAATTCAGTTACAAATGATCATTTATAGGAGAAAAAGGAATTGGATGTAAAGGAAGAAGTCAGGGAGAAAGAGGACAAAGACAAATGGTAAGCAACATACACCCTTCTTATTTCTGTAGTTAGTGGGCTGTTTTCATAGGCCTTCCATATTCCAATAAACACAGTATTTATCCAGCTAATTGGACTATGGAAGTAGTGTTAATCACTGCTTATTTTTCTAAGCATAGGAGGCTTGGCTGTCCTGGTGATAACCATAGCAAACAACCAAAAAGGAACCGGTGCTGGGAACTAGGGAGCAGTGTGGTGAGAGCACTTCTCCAGCTGGAAGAAATCAAGCCAGGAATAGGTCCAGCCCTGGCCAAAGGTTTTCTCCTCATGACATAAGAATATTTAGTGGCAGCTGCAGGCTGATGATTTTCTACTAGATAGGTTGTGATTTTCTCTCTTCAGAAGCAGCATTTCATTTTTCTTGAGAAGGATGAATTTCTTCTATTAAGGAGGAACTTGACTAAGGTGACCTACTTCTGTCTTTACCAAGCAGAGAAGTGAAAAGCAGTTTTACAAGGCTCTTCATTGGGGGTTTCTGTGTTTCTTTCACAGAGATTGAGACAGTGAAATTGGCCCGTTCTGTCTTCAGCAAACTACACGAGATTTGCTGCAGCTGGGTGAAAGACTTCCCCCTCCGCAGGAGACCCCAGCTTTATTATGAGACATCAATCCATGCCATCAAAAACATGCGCAGGAAAATGGAGGACAAACATGTCTGCATTCCTGACTTTAATATGCTCTTCAACCTAGAGGTAAAGGGCACTTCCGGAGAGTCAGTGAGATTTTAAAGACAAAACAAACACCTTCATGGTCCTGTTAGAAAAGGAAAACTTCTGATATATTTCTAATTGTATCTTTGGTAGATTAGAGTAGCGCTAAATGCAAAGTGGCACAAATTTGCAACAGAAAAGGAACTATTTTATGTTCTTTTGAATAGGTAATGCATTCACATGGTTCAAAACTGGGAAAATAAAAATGTCTCTCTTATCCTTGCCTCCCAGGTACTCAGTTCCCTTCCATGGAGGCAAGGTAGTCTTTTGTGTCACTTTCCAGAGCTATTCTATAAACATATAAGCAAAAAAGAAAACGATTAGGCTGGGTGCGGTAGCTCACGCCTATAATCCTAGCACTTTGGAAGGCTGATGCAGGAGGATTGCTTGAGACCAGGAGTTTGAGACCAGCCTGGGTGACAGACATAGTGAGACTGTCTCTT